TACATAGACAAACCGAGAGCAGCCGTTGGCTGAATTCCTTAGACGCACGAGCCCCGAAAGGAAATGGATAGAGAGAACTGCAAAAAATACAGCTAAATTTATTAAGATGAATCAGCTCGAGCAACAAAAAACTTATGAAGATCACCTGGCTGCATTTTCAGGCTACTCGTCAACGAACGCCGTCAAATACCCCAAGAGAAACCTGCTAACGTAGCCCCTAGAGAAATGCAGATGCATCTGTTCCGTATTAAAAATAAATAAAACAAATGCAAATATACGTTTTCTGTGTTGAAGGTAGGGGGAATGAAAGACACACAGTAGTTTCTCTCTCTGAAAGCCCCGTCCTTGTGCCATGATACAGAAGCTGCTCGTTGTATGTAGTTTCACAGTTCATCTGTTCCTTTGCAAAGCAAAAACTTAATATTTTCTTTGTTTTTTGTGATCTGTCTATAGAGTGTTTTGATTGGTGTAAAGATAACACCACCTGCATGCTGCCGATGCACGACCCTCCGTCTGCTTGAACGGATCGAGCGATGCGTTGGCTCTGTTCCTCTCTTCCTCTTTTCTTGGCTTGCACTGCTTTCCCTGCCTGTCGTCAGAACAGCATTTCTTCGAGTTTGCGGCTGAGGCCAACAACTAACAGGCTCTGCTCCCCAGGCAAGAAACCACACGCACTGTAGCAACACAAGTTTACTAGTTAGAAGGAGGTAGAATATGCAAATCTACAGAAATATATCTTATTCATATTCTCTATGTTTGTGTTTCCAGTGAAGTTTTCAGTTTCCTGCATATTCCACGCCCGACAGTATCGGGTGTCTGCACACCTCACCCCATCGAGAATTTTTGTTCTGAGATCACCATTGCTTTGGCTTTATTTTCATCGTTCTTCTCTTCTCTGTTTTGTCTTCGTTGTTTTATTTCAGCTTTCGCAGCAGCAGCAACGATGGCCAGTTCAACTTTCCAGCAGAAGACGGAGGAGGAGTGGCGGCAGACCTTGACGCGTGCGAAGCATCACTAGGGTTTAGGGTTTAGGGTTTAGGGTTTAGTTGTTGTTTTACAGCTAGTAGTAAAGTGTTTAGGCACTGCTAGCTGCTGAGAAAAAGCGCGCATGCGTGTTGTTTGTTAGCTGCGCTGTACCGTATTCATACTTCTTTTGCATATTCTCTCTAATTCAGTTTGTAGGGAAAGGGAGTAAACCGCAGCAACAGAATAACCGTGAAGATATCGT